TCTTTTTTTTTTTTTTTAATATTTCCTGCATTAGTCAATATTTTGCCCATAGAATCTTTCAAGATTGCAACTAGAGGCTTTTTTCTTCAATTCTTTCAGCTTGAGAAATGCCAGTGTGTTCTTCCCTTTTGGTTTTCTAACTTTAGGTCTTTGCACATTTCATTATAATAATTGACTTTGTCTTCTCAATTTCTTTGAAATCTTCTGTTCAGCTCATTTATCCTGTTATATCTTCCATTTGCTTTAGCTACTCTCCATTCAAGGGCAGGATTCAGAGTCTCTTCTGACATCCATTGTAGTCTTTTCCTCCTTTCCTGTCTTTTTAATGACCTTGTACTTTCTTCATAGATGGTGTTCATGACATCATCCAACAATTCCTCTGGTTTGCTGTCATTGCTATTCAATGCATCAAATCTATTCTTTAGATGGTGTTCTGGTTACCTAGTGTCACTCTGACAGAAATATACCACAGATGGGATGGCCTTAACAAACAGGAGTGTATTCTTACGATTTGGAGGCTTTAAGTCCAATTCAAGTGCCAGGCTCTTGGGGCTGTGTGAAAGCCTCTTGACCTTGGGCTTCAGCTCTGCCTCTTGCTCCTGGTTCACTGAACCAGAGGCATCTCTTCACTCAGACAGCTACTGGCTGCTGAGACTAACAAGCCCAAGGTCAACAAATAAAATGGCACAGTCCCGATGTTACAAACCACATAGCAGGCTATTAATTCAAGCCATTGTAAGTCCCAAGGTCAGCATCTTGCTGCTAAACAATGACATGGCTACATGCACGGTCCAAGCAAGCCATAAGCTAGAGATCATCTGCAGAGCTGTTTCTTTTTTTATATATAAATCTGATCTTTATTTGTCTTTAGAAGTTGGAAATAGTACCTTTATACATCTGTAAGTGAACATCTGAGAGTAACATCAGCAAATTACATGCTGCAACACTGTATATAATACACATTACTCTCAAGAAGATGTACAAAAAAACCCAAAACCCAGAGTCATAAGTGTGTTTTGTTGTACCTTGAATATGTCTTAAATTGGGGTTACCTGTATATGATAAACATTGAAAAACACATAAACAGTGACATTTCCCCTGGGTTTCTCCCCCAGAAACAAGCATCATTTGAGTTTAAACGTATATGCACAGGTTTTGTGCTACATAATGTATTGCCTTTAGGTTGTACAAATCATCAGCATACATGAAGTATTTGCACCATTTTCTTCCCTTTCCGTGATATATACTGGAGAATTGTTTCATATGAAAACAGAAAGATCTGGCTTGTTCTTTTTGTTCCCATTCTTTGAAACTGTGGTACAATACATGACATAAAATCCTGCCCTTGTAA